GTGTCTGTTTATATGTGCAAATAGGTGCACATAAGTAGAAAGTACTATAATTTAAATTTTATCAAAGGCAAGCCAGTCAACTGCTTGCTTACACTCAAGACAGGAGAGGGCCTTCGTGGCTACAATTCTTTGCATAGACTGGGAACAACCCCTACTAAACACAGTGAGATTTATTTCCTTCCCATTCACTCTGGCTCACAAGCATCGCAGTGCCAGACAGAAAGCTCACAACGGAAGAACATGGCTTGGCTATGTGACGAAGCAGAGAGCACTGCTGGAAAAATTACTCCTAATTTCACCTGCAGGAATTTTATTTGGATGGTTTCTGGAAACGTTTTTATTGTAATTCTAACTCTTTGAAATCTTCAGATCTACACTCGGTGTGGCAATATTAAGTTTTCTGCATTCCCATCATCATATGGAACTGAAAAGTACCAAAAGGCAAACTTGGGTACCTTTTTTTAGGATCGACTGAAATGTTTAATAAAGGTATTGCTCAGCTGTGGATTTGGGGGTTTTATTTTGCACCAAACAGCACGGCTACCTTTGCTTTCAGCTGCCTTTTTAAAAACTTGCTGAAGTCTTCATATCCGGGTTTTTCTTTTGATCAAGCTATTGTCTTCTCTTCTGCAGGTGCTCCTACTTGCAAAAAGAGAAGTATGAAGAGGGGAAAGGAGAAAAGTTTTCCTGTTAAAGAGAGGTAGCAGGAGAGGAAAGGTGGAAAGAAAGAAGAAAGACAGCAAACGCTGGCTAGTCAGGGGGAATCAGACGCAATCAAGATGTCAGGGCCGTTATATCCTCAAATCAGGAAGCGCCACTTTTCTTCCGCTGAATGAAAAGCAACATCCATCAAAATAACTTCCTGAGTGATTGATTCCAAGTCCGGCCAAGAACATGCCAATAAGTAAGGAAAACCCTCAGGTGGGCCATGGATTGGAAAGGTTCAGCATGCATTCCACTTCCCGGGAAAGGAACTGCAAAGGCAACAACAGAGAACATCAATTTTCCAGGTAAGCAAAGTGATGCTCGAGGTGTTGCACTGAAGGATTTTATCTTGTGTGGGCAAGAAATGCCTGACAATTCAATCTGGATGCCAAAGAGGAAGACGCACTCACAGTACGTTAACTCACCAAAGAATTTCAGAAGATCAGATTATGCTTTATAGATGACAGCAAAGACTTTGACTATGTGGATCACGAGAACCCACAGATGGTCCTGAAAGAAATGGCTTGTCACCTTCTTCATGGACAAAAAGCTAGTTAGGACAAAATATGGAGAAACAGAATGGTTTCCCACAGGCAAATGTGTCACAGAAGGGTGCATTTTCACTCCCTGTTTGGTCTGTATGCAGAGCAGATCATAAGGAAAGATGGACTAGGATTGGAGAAAGGAGTGCTGAAAATTGGTGGAAGATACATCAATATTTTAAAATATGCAGATAGGGCCTTATTCCTGGCAGAAAGCAGCTATGAATTGAAATGACTCCTGATGAAAGCAAAAGAAGAAAGTGCAAAAGCAGGACTGCAGCTGAACATCAGGAAAACAAAAATCACAGCTTCAGAAGAATGACAGAACTTTCATGTCAACAGTGAAGAAATCAAGGCTGTGCAAGAATTTGCAAGTCTTGACTCGGTCATCAATTCCAGTGGGGATGCTGCCAAGTCATTAGAAGGCTGAGACTTGGAAGGGCAACAGTGAAGGAAGTAGGGGGAAAGCAAGTGGAAGAATGTTTCACTGGAGATGGAGGCTAAGATCATCCGCATTCCCGCCACTCTGCATGGGTGTGAAAGCCGGACGGTGAAGGCAGAAGACCAAATATGAGCTCAACTCCATAAAGACTTAACTTTATAAGAGCTGAGAGTCCAGCGCAGGGCCTTTGGAGGGCTCTCATTCATGGTGTCAACAGAAGTCGGTGCCTGACAATAACAAACAATGAATTCCTCTCCATGAAAACTTATTATGTCGTTGTAAATTTTGGGGCATGTGCCATAAACCAACGTGGCTTCTGTGCAGAAAGCAGCAATTTGTGGCTCTTCAGTTCCAAAGTGGGCAGGAGACAACCGGATGGTGTTCAATGTGGATAAGTGCAAGGTCTTGCACCTGGGGCATAGGAATAGCTGTCATAAGCACAGGTTAGGGAACAAGTGGCTGGAGAGCAGCCCTTGTGAAAGGGACCTCGGGGTGCTGGTCGACTGCAGGCTGAACATGAATCAGCCGTGTGATGTGGTGGTCAAGAGGGCGAACGCCACCCTTGGTCGCATAGCCAGAAGTGTGGCTTCTAGATTGAGAGAGGTATTACTACCACTCTAAACGACTCTGGTGGTCCTGCAACTAGAGTATTGTGCTCAGTTTTGGGCCCCTCATTACAGAAAGGATATAGCCAGGTTAGAGTCAGTGCAGCGAAGGGCCACAAGGTTGGTGGCGGGTTTGCAGGGGATGCCGTATGAGGCGAGACTGAGGGAACTGGGTCTCTTCAGCCTGGAGAGGAGGTGACTCAGAGGGGATCTGTTGGCGACATGCAGGTATGTGAGGGGGTGTCACACGGAGGGGGGTGGAGACCTGTTCTCCCCTGCAGAGGAAGGCAGGACGCACTCCAGCGGAGCAAAGCTCAGGGAACCCAGGTTCCATTTAGATGCCAGGAAGCACTTCCTGACAGTCAGGACCCCAAGGGTGTGGAATGGGCTTCCATGGGAGGTGCTGAAAGCCCCATCAGTGAGGGTGTTCAAAGATAGGCTGCACATGCACATGGTGGGCATGTTGTGAGCGGAGCTGGCTGGAGCTGGGGTCAGACTAGATGGCCCGGGAGACCACTTCTGACTTGCTATGTTTCTATGTATTTGTGGAGCTCCTCTCTCTCACACAGGACATAAGAAAGCTGTGCAGGATCCAGCCAATGGCCTGTTAAGCACTCAATTCAAATGGAACCACACCAGCCAGAAGAGGGCTGCGAATTGCAGCAGGACACACGGAGGGAACGGTTCAAGCCCCCCCCCCCCCCCCCCCGCACACTCACAGCTTCACATGTACTTTGGGAAGGAAAATGCAGGCAACCCAAGCCCTGAATCTCCCATCTGGTTTGGCCCCAAGTCTCAAACAAAATTAATGGCACTGGCCAAGCTGCCTGGATTTTCCATGCAGGCTGAACCTGGAATTAACTGGGCTCCAGGGGGTGGGCGGCTGCGTCCCCCAGCATGGAAGGCCGAAGAAGGAAGGAAGTTCCAGGCTTGCGCTGTTTAAATCCCTCGGTTCAGCCATATCACATCCCCCAACTGCACCGTGGAGGCACGCTTGCGAGCGAAATGTACGAAAAAGGCATTAACCACATATGTACTCTGAATAAAACCACATGTCTTGGCTACATAAATAACACGCCACATCCTCATGTCTTGTAAATAACTCAAGGAGGGCTCCAACTAAAATCCCGGGAGCTAAACGATCTGCATCCAAGTTGAAAGCAACCCTGCATAGTTCTTTGCAAACTCGCATTTGCTGCTGGAAAGAGAATACCTGTCCGGGGAGGAGACGCAGCCTCGAGAGAAACAGGACTGCCTCGAACCCGGCCGGTAGCCAGAGGAGCCACGGCACCATTTTCCCCAGCAGCAAGAGACAGCTGGCTCTCACCGTCCTCCTGAGGAATCGGACAGAAGTATCTGTCTACGTTATCTCCCAGTTTCCTCCAGTAACTGACAAGATACTGTGAAAGGTAAAGGTTTCCCCTTGACATTAAGTCCAGTCATGCCTGACTCCAGGGGGCGGTGCTCATCTCTGTTTCCTGGCTGAGGGAGCCAGCGTTTGTCCGCAGACGGTCTCCGTGGTTGTGTGGCCAGCATGACTAAACACCAAGGTGCACGGAACGCTGCTACCTGCCCACCAAAGTGGCGCCTGTGTATCTCCTTGCATTTGCATGCTTTCGAACTGCAAGGTCGGCAGGAGCTGGGACGGAGCAACGGGGACTCACCCCGTCGTGCAGATTCGAACCGGCGACCTTCCGATCAGCCAGCCCAGCAGCACAGTGGGTTAACCCACCGCGCCACCTGCGGCCCTGACAAGGTGCTGGGGAGCCCCAAAGGAAAGGTGCTGACACGCTCACCCCCTCCCGTTCCCGCCACCTTGCAAATGGGACGCCGAGGGAAGGGACCCAACCGGGGCTCCTGGGGCCACCTCGGCAAACGGCGCCCGGCCCGTCCGTTTATGATGCCGGGCAGCCTTCCCTGGCCTTCGGATGGGTGGGACGGCAGCCCCCATCAGTCCCAGCTAGCATGGCCATAGGCCCTGCAGGATGAGGATGATGGGAGCTGCAATCCGGAGGATGCCACTTTTTGAAAGGCTGATGAAGTGAGTGGACGGCTCGCTTTGTCTGCCCTGAATCTCTCCTGCCAATCGATTTCACTGGAATCCTCAAGTTCTGTCCAAGAGGACGTTCTCTCTGCTTGATCCACAACTTACAAGACTATATCAACCTCTCTCGTGCCCATCCTCTAGGATCCTCCACAACAGGTACACACCTCCATGTACATGATTAATGCAGTAATTGCTACAGAACCCTAGAAGAGTCAGGCTGGAAGGGGCCAGAGGACCACCAGATCCAACCCCCGCCCAGTGCGGGACTCCCAGTTCAACCATTCCTCTCAGAGGGCTGCCCAGCTTCATCTTGACGGCCTCTCGGGTGGGAGAGCCCACCGCCTCCCTCCATCATGGGTTCCCTTGTCATACTAACAGGAAACTTTCCCAGATGGCCAGCCGGAATCTGGCTTCCTGCAACCTGAGCCCATTATTGCACTCTGCGTCTTGCACTCTGGGATGGACGGGACAAGCGCCTGGCCTTCCTCTTTGTGGCAGCCTTTCAAGCATTGCAAAAGTGCTACCCCATCTCCCCTCAGTCTTCTCTTCTTGAGGCTCAACATGCCCAGTTCTTTCCATCTCTCCTCACGGGGCTTTGCTTCCAATCCCTGGATCATCCCTGCTGCCCTCCTCTGGACCCTTCCCAGCTTCCCTGCATCTTTCTTCAACTGTGGAGCCCAGAATTATACGCTCTTGCTCATTGTCTGCATAAATATAAATATATAACGTAAATATGCCACTGCAAATCACAGCAACAAGCAAAAGCTTATATGTCTTGCAGTGCATATAAGCTTTCGTAGTTCGTGTTTTCGTGGGAATCACCTAGATGACACACTGCAATTATGAATTTGAATTCACTCCTGCTTAAGAATCTGGTTCACCCAGTCTGGGGATTAGTTGGGAACTGCTGTGGGTGGAAGGGAAGGGAAGTCTTCAAGACCTTTCCAGCAAAATAATAAATGCAGTTATTTACCTAAGAGCGGGGATAGGACATTTTGCCTAACTAGGCCAACTATGACTAAATTTCCCCCTTTCATCCTTGCATAATTTTATTTTGTGTTTGGATGCCAGGTTCTAACAGTAGCTTCATCCTTCAAATTCAGGTTGGGGCATTTTGAGAGAGGAACAGTCCAAGCGCCGCAGCTGTTTCAAGAATGGCTCAGAAGCAACAAACAAACTTTTGTTCATCAGTCAATAAGCAAGACGGAACAGCTCAAGCTTGTCCTTATGGGAGCTCAATTCTTGGGGAATTGGCTAGAAAGCCTGCCCCGGTTTCTAAGCAGGGCTAGTTGTAAACTCTCGTTAATTCAGTGGATACCTCCCATTCTTAATTGTTATCTGATCTGCTAATAAACACACCCCAGGAAAGGGTTAACCAGCCACTATTTAGAAGTATCCCTCATCGTAATTGCACAGAACAGTCTTATGTCTGAGTAATAAGGTGAGGGATCACCGGATTGGAGGAGGAAAGTTCAATCTCTTCCATGCTCCTGCCACAGACCGAACTTGATGGGGGGCTACTCAAGCCCCTTGGCACTCACACGCTGCGGCTGATTAACCACTCCAAACTTCCCAGGTAAGTAAAGGATGCAGTTATTAGATATGTAATGAACAATTTTGCCTAGGAAACGCCTCAAGCCAAAATACATTTCCTTTGGTAAGTATGTTTAGGAACGGATGCCCTCTGAGAATTAGCCTAGGAAAGTGGGTTCACAAATTAGCCTAGGAAAGTGGTAGTGAAGTGGGTAAGTAAGTTTCATTTACTTACTATATTTATATCCCTGCCTTTTTTTTCCTTCCAAATAACTCCAGGGGAGCTTACGTCATTCTACTCCCCCATTAATCTTATTCTCACTACAACAACCCTGCAAGGTAGGTCGGGCTGAGGGTCTGTGACTGGCCCAGAGTGGGGACTTGAACCCGGATCACCTGACTCCCAGACATGAAACGAAGATAAACTGCAGCTTGCTGACACTCACGACAACCATCGAGAATGAGCAACTGAGCCAAGAAACGAAAGACAAGCAAATCGCTCCCCCATTAGCGGCTCGCCGGCTGCGGGCACCAAGGCGGCGACGAGAAAGAACAGCACGCCTACCGCAAGGGACCCCTGGGCAGGACCTGGCCCCCGAGCGTCGGCCACCAGCCCTCCGACCAGCAGAAAAGCAGAGCCTGGCGGAGCCCAGCCCCTGCCCTGCAGACCTCCCTCGCATCTCAAAGCAGATTTCGGAAAGGAAACTGCCCGGAGGGCTCCGCAATGTGGCCGCTCGCAGAGTCGCTCAAGCACCCCACTGGGGCGGCCCTGCCCTGCCCGGGGGGCCCTCGCCATCTCCGCACCCCGTAAAAGCGCCAGGCCGGAGACGGTCGCTCCTTCAGGCGGTGCCACCGTCTCTGCCGCCCTCCGCAGCGACGGAGCTAAATCCGCTCGGCCGGCCCGACAGGCGCACTTACTTGGTCCCAGCTGCAGCACCTGCTCGAGTTCAGCCTCCGTGGTTGCTGAGGCGATGGCGTGGGGCAGCTTCAGCGTGAAGGGCAGGACATCCCTTGGGGAAAGCAAGGAGAGTGCCGTTAGCTCGCCTCGCACATGCACCCTCCTCACGCAACAGGACACAACCCCAGAAAGAACGTTCCCTTAGAAAAAACTCCCCCGCCACTTCCTCTTCTTTCGGTCTGATGGAGAGATGATTAAGAGGAGGCTGTTTGGAAGCCCGAGATACCCTTCTGCTGCAATGCAGGATATCCGTTTGCCATTCCGAATAGGAGCCTGCACAAAACGAAAGGCGTGCTCACAGCCGATCGCCAGAAGGGCCCGAGTGTTTTCACACCACTTGGGTGTGAGTGCGTATATTGCAGTTCCGCAGCCTACGAAATCCGCACCACGCCAAAGCTGACCGAGAAGTTCAGCGAAACTGAGAGCGAAGTTTGCCAACACCCGACCAAGGGAATATTCCGCAGGCTCTTCGACCCCAGCTGAACGAGCTCCAGGACCAGGGCGGAGAGCAGCTTTCCGTGTGAGCCCTGGGAGAGCAGCTGCCGGAACATGGAGCTCCGCGGGCTAAGCGCCATCTCCGCGATGGAAAGTGCTTGGGCTCTCAGTACCAGGAAAAGCATGAAGTGTTTGGGGCGGCATGGGGCTTGCAGCCTCTTCCTTCCAGCCTTCGCGGGGGCCCTGTGACCGCATCGTGGCCCCCCAAGGGTCTGCGAACCATAGGCTGAGAGCCACTGGCTTAAACTATCCACAACATGGGAAGAATAGTGGGAGGAGGAGAGAAATGGGTGCATTCGGCATCCAGGGCACCCGTTTTGCAGATGGCTGGGTGGAATTGTCGCTGGTGGCGCTGGGTGTTCAAGGACAGGCTGGACGTGCACATGGTGGGCATGGCGTGAGTGGAGCCGGCTGGTGCCGGAGGTCAGACTAGATGGCCCGGGAGGCCCCTTCGGACTCGCTCTGTTTCGTATGTTTCTATGTTTTCTATGTTTTGGGAAGGGGTCACGCCACGTGGCAAGGGTCCCTGGCCAACCCACGGTCAAACCCTTCCCTCACGGCCCATATCTCACAGTTTCTCAGCAGCATGCCTGCTGAGGAAGTTCGAAAACGCTTGCAATTTTAAGCACAGAGAAATCCATATAAAGGCAGCCAAAAGTTCAATTTTAGAGTAGTCTACGAAATACCTGCTGATACAGTAGAAAGCGATGAGCCGGAACAAATCTGCAAAGCTTATTCCGGAGCCTTCCAAGGAAAAGGCTGCAAAGAAGAAGGAAACCATCTCACTTGTGCAATCCACGTTCCACGAAATGTTATTAAACACACTTCCTACGTAGTAATGAATCTCCAAAACAGTGTTTGTAATGAAAACACATACACAACTACCCATGTGAAATGTCTCAGCCAAATGTCTGTAGAACAGACTTGGGCTGTTTTGTGTTTCAAGAGTCTCCACAGATGCTTCATTAGTTAATTAAAGGGTCGGCAAAAACTGAGTTGCACAAGAGCAGTTGGCAAAAACTGCGTTGTTTCCTAGCAAACATGATGGATTCTGCTGAAAGTGCTTGCCTTCGTAAACACAAACCCCACAAGCAGTCTGGATTTGCAACGGACAGTAATACATTTGTTCCAGATGATAAACCACCTGAATTTACTTTTTATATACATGCACATAAAATCAATCAAAGGATGATTTATTCATTGGCATTGCACATGTATAGATTTTATTTATTTATTTATTTTTGGATTCATATCCTGCCTTTTCCCTACAAAGGGCTCAAGGCAGCTTACATCATTCTCCTCCACCATCTTATCCCCACAACAACAACCCTGTGAGGTCAGTTGGGCTGAGAGTCTGTGACTGGCCCAAAGTCCCCCAGTGGGCTCCATGGCCGAGCGGGGACTTGAACCCGGATCGCCCGAGTCCCAGTCCCGTGCTCTAACCACTGCACCACCCTGCCTCACAGCCAAAATCTATCTTTAGATGTAGATTTACCACCTTTAGCAATTTAGAAAACCCATCCTTTCACTTCTCCATTTCTCTGCCCCACAGCTATAGAAATACTGCTTTCATGAAGCGCAGACATAACGAAAGTATACTGAATCTGTAAACAGATGCTACCCGTCGCTTTTAACAGGAAACACACGCCCCTATTAATTTTCTAGCTTGCTGATATACCTGGCTTCTTTTTCCTGGACTAAAGAGTGAATTAGAAAGATCCCAGGAAGAGACGGAATCGTTTTCCACGCCAAAAGAACTATAAGATCAGTGTTGGGTGCTGTGGGAATTCATAGGGTGAATGTTCACATATTGTATGGCAGGCGTGTGCCTTCCAGTGAGTTCGGGGCACCTAGTGGCACCTCTGCTAAAGACACGAGCTCACAGTGGCTTGCGAAGGCACCGACAGCAGAGCCGACAACGTGTGCCGCTTATCACAGCAACAACAAAAGCAGTTTTCATGACAACCCAAGCTACGTGTGTGAGCATCACGAGGTATTAAAAACGGTCAGAGGCAGCTCCTCCATCTTATATTTCACTGCAACTAGTGAGGGTGTTTTTCTTAGGGGGAGGGCAGAAAGTTCCAAAATAAATATCTGAGTTAACTTGTGTTGCCCCTGAGTGTTCACACTGAGAAATGGGGGTTGGCTATGCCAAGCAGGGCCTGCAAGGGGCTGTGCTTCAGCAAGGGTTAAATAACCACACTGTTTGCACGGAAATAGGCCAGGAGAAAACCGCTGCTCCAGTTTGGGTCATATTCTGGCTTCTGTGCCATAGGCTAGAGAATCCACTTGATTTGGTCTAGAATGCCAGAGACTCCCTCCATATCAGTCCTAAATTCAGCTCTGCTCGATCACAATTCTTCAGTGATAGCTATGACTCTCAGCAGAGGTGAATCCTCGCGTGAAGGTCTTCAATGTTTGCTATCTCCTCCCCGCTTTAATGCTTTTAAAGCCCCCCAAGAGTGATTCCATGAATGCAAATCAACGGAAAATAAATGTGCAGACGCAAAAGGCATGCAGGATGCCAAAAAGGGATTGCAAACAAACATGGGAACAATCCAGGAAATAAGCATTTTTTCTTAAACTACTTACTGTATGTGCTTTCCTTGATTGCAAACTCCTTGAGGCATGACCCAAATTCACTGGGTAGACGCAGAGATAAGACTTTCTTCTGCATTCTTGAGGACTTCCTAACGAGGAATGTCTATTAAAATGAAAACGAGAGCAAGGCTTTAAGAGATGGTGGCTAAATTCTGGCCTTCTGTTTATTGCATTTATATGCCACTTTTCTTACACCGAGGAACCCACGGGGGCTCTGCTCTGCCCGTTTTATTTTGGCTGGCCTCCTGTGTAATTATACAGAACTTTCCGCACAGAGGTGAATAACTTATGAAACGCTGTAAAGTCCGAAGGGTCTCCTTGTACGGGATTCAGTGATAACCCGCTGTGCCCACTAACCATGCCCAGGTCTGAACAACTCTGAGGTCCAGCTTCAACTTGTATCCCCTGTCTTGCAGGATACGATTATTTAAAAAAATAATACGAAGGCCTTAGGAATGCTGGTGGCCTTTTATAGTTTATTCTTTCAACTGTTTTACTAGGTTTCAATATGTTGTTACTTATATGCTGCCTAGGAAGGCCTTTGGCAGTCATAAGTGGCATATAAATATGTAAATAAATAAATAAAATGTTTTGTATGCCCTTGGACCAGGCTGTCCTCCCTCTTCGTGGGTCAGAGCGCTTGGCCTGGCCCATTCGCACAACGAGATGCATAAGAGCCGCTTCCTGGCAGTGTCCACACAGCCGGAGCGCAGTGGGTCAGTTGCGGTAACGACCATCCGTTGTGGCCGGAGGTTCAAACGCAGCCTCTGTGACACCGGGAACCAGGCTCAGCCGCCTCCTCTCCCGAGGGTCCTGCTGCTTCATGGCAGAACAGAGTCCATCACCAGCCACACCGGCCTTGGGCTTGGGCTCGGACCAGCCAGAGCCCTTCCCGAGGAAGTCGGCGTGGGCCGGCCAGGCCAGGTGGGCCACGTCTTCCGTGGAGTACGGCAGGGTCGCGGCACGCGTGAGTGCAAAGACTTCAGCAGGGCCAGCCGCACGGACCGTGCCCTTCCGCCTGGACCTCCGTCAAGGTTCACACTCCCACAGTGAAATACTTGCCCCTTTGGGGACACAGTTCCTATGCTACTGCGGTGCAAGGATGTGCAGAGACAGAGAGGATGGATGGATGGATGGATGGATGGAGGCAGAGAAGGGAGGGAGGGAGGGAGGGAGGGAGGGAAGGAAGGAAAGTGAAGTCCGTTCTGTTTCTCAATTTTTTTGCAAGCAAGTTAATTCTGCACGGTCATGAAGAAGGGATGCCCTACCAACAGGCACCCCCTTTGCCTTTTCAGGCCAAGCAAAAGGCGTCTCTTACTCCGGGAGGGTGAGGCCGTAGGACATCCGCCGCTTCGGCATCATCCAAGCCAAGCTGCAACCAGACGGGGTGCGTGTGCAGGAGTTTATCCAGTATGCTGAGCTTACTGGGCAGGCTGTCATATCCGGAATCCCGAGCGAGATTTTTGGAACCCTTCTGTTCTGGACACACCTCACCCATAGCTTTCTCTAGGCTAGAAACAGAAACAAAAGCAAAAGCGTAAGGTTTAAATTTAAACTACCGAAGAAACTATCAGGACTTTCAAGGCAACCTTCAGCCGCTTTATCAGAATCAACATTTCCAGGCCCAGTCCATCAGGAGGTTTACAGCTGCGCTGGAGGTACTCCGGGAACGTCACCGTTCTTCTTCCTAGTGACTGGCACTATCGCACGCGGTGCGAAGATCATGGGGTACAGCCAACCCCTGTAGGGTTACTGGCCGGCTTTCCCAGGGCCCTTCCTGGAGACAAAAGCCGGTTCCACTCCTCTCCCAGCAACCTCATGCTGAGTCCCTGCTGTATCGCAACCCTTCTGCTTACACTTAAGATTCTTCCGTTCCATTCTTTCCATCGGATGAAGCAAAGGACGCCTTTGGCACCACAAAAAGGCTCTTCCAGGAAAGCCACCGCAAACACTCTTTCGCTTTTGGAATATCCTCCTCCGGAAGAGAGGGCTGAACATTGTAAAGACTAAGGGAGGAGGTTGGTTGGATGGTTGGTTAGGTGGGCCTCTTGTCTGCTTCTCAAGCCATCTCAGCCTAGTATCCATGGATCCCCCACCTGGGGTGGATCCATCCCTGCTCGTATCCAGGTTCACGATCCTAGAAATCCCAAAGCTGGTAGCAACATCTACTGGCTTCTAGTCAGTCATGACTTTCCCTTTACTAGGTGAGCCCCTGCTTTGCGAGCAGTGAAATGGACCCGGGACGGTCCCCGCCAGCTCACCCCTCCTGCAGCGCGATCCATCGTCCAGGCAAGCTGAATGGCACCTCCGGACGCCCGCTGTGCCACCCAGCACATCAGGCTGGCAAAAGTTTGTCTATGGAATGACACAGAGAAGCAAGGACTGCGCCATTTCAGGCCAAAATAATCGGCGGGGAGGCATTTCTACGTTCAAGGTATCGGCTGAATTCAACCGGTCTCACCCCAACCCTGCATAGCCTCCAGCAAGCTGTCATCCGAGCCCCCACCTGCAAGAGGGAGATAATTACGGACATTCCCCTTGCAGGGCTGTCGTAACGACAGCTGAGTTAGGAAACATCAAGGGTTAGCAATGCTCTGAAACGCTACAGAATTGTTGTTCTAGTACGAACCATTCTAAGAGTATTCAGCATATTTAAAAACTGGTCCATGCATTCGTAGCCAAAACTCTTATCATGCTGCTTCTTGATTTTTAAAAAAGAAATGTACTTCTAAGTCACATGCAACTATAAGGAGCAACTCCGCTGCAGAACAGAAGACATTGTGTGGCTTTTCTTTAGAGAATGATTCCTTAAGGAAAAGCTGCCCTGTGAAAGCAGACTTACTCTAATAGGACATCCCAAGTTCTTGTCCTCGGTCACAAGGATTTAAATACACCGGTTGTGACCACGTGGGTCGGAATTGCAGCTGAAGAGCATCCTGTAGCTCATGTCCTAAGCTTCTATTGCAGAACGATCTGCTGCTGGAGAAATCAGACCTTGGACGAGAGGTGCGTGGGCGCAAGGGACAGGCTGACGAGCCGCCCTCGCCTGCATAAGCCAAAGGGATTCACCCTCCCGTCCCATGGTCTCTCCCGGCTCCACCATCACAATGGGCCCAGAAGTGACTTCACCGCGAAGGACTGCCAACGCAGGAAGGGTGCTCGGCACCTGCGGTGCTTTGCAGGCGACTCACCACAGAGCAGGTCAATCAAGGCCGCAGGTACTCTGCTTGCTGGCGCGTCATGCTGGCAGGCATCGGTATTCCATTAAAAGGAAACTTATTCTGGGGTAAGACCCAGAGTATGGGTACCCTTGTGTGCCCCGGGGGCAGTTTTCTACCCGCACAGTGTCTGTCTTTCCTCTGCTCCCCTCAGATGCGAAGGCTGTCACAGGAGTTTAGCATTTTAATTCCATTTGGTACACCACCCTGGTACCATAAAATGAAGGGCAGGAAATAATGGCTTTAGACAGAGCGAGAGAAAGCTGGAGAGCTTGCGCAGGACCGTCCCGTGTCACAACAGCTTCCCAGCACATCCTTCCCAGCGCCGTCTTGCCAGGGATTCCGACTACAACGAAGCGTCTGCAGCTCTCGGAAGGGAGAGGGGTCCCCACCATCCAGCCACGGCAAACACGACCTGGTCGTGTGGAAGTAGCACTGAATGTTTCGTGCGGAAGGGATGGAGAGGAGGTCGCAAATGCTCAGAGGCCCATGGCACACCCCTGTGCTTCCTGCATGCCGGACACACGTGCAAACTGGCCCCGATCCATCCAGCAGCAGGGCTCAGGACTCAGTCACATCCCTCTTGCTCCATTAGCTGTAATACCTGCGGCAGCCAGGTGACCGGCCACACCTGTTGCAATTACGTCTTCCGCACAGCTATTACACGGACAGGTGTTTTGCACCTGGCAACCCTAACATTAGTGTGAGCCTGTCATAACCTGGCACGTGACTCGTTTCCTGTTCTGCTCAGCTTCTAAGTGGTCATCCAAGTCCGAGGTGACTGACTAGTTTTCTCAGCAAAGCAGGAGAGCCTTCCTTGCGAGTTCTTTCCCCCCGGTAATCCCAACGGATGCAGGGCAGCCTTGGTTTCCTGGCACGTGCTCCTCTTTGCTCCTCATTTCCTCGCCTTTAAGGAGATTCTGGAGTGCCGTCTTAGGACTGCGTTGGAAGACCAATACATGGCCATGCAGTCGCCGTTCTTGAGGGCTCAGCCTAAGTCTCTAGAAGATTTATCTTTAGTCTGATCTATCAGTACGTGTGCTTGAACAAAATGATACCGACAGCCCTTAAAGTTTTACTCCCAGCCTTTCTCTCAGGCTAGGTTTGTTCTGGTACTAGAGGCAGGTTGGAGAAATGTGTGAAAGGGGGATTTATTTATTTTAAAAGCATGGCAGGGAGAGCAACCACATTTATATGGCGATCGTGCTGCAGGAACAGAAGGAAAGAGGGCTGTGTATACAAGCATGAGCTAGGGGGGAACTGATCCAAGTTGCCAAGAGGAGAGGGTGAATCCTCAGGCAATCCACGCCCAAGGGAATGTGCCAGCTTCACACCTCATTCCTCAGAGCATTTTTCCCCGTCTCCTTGGCACTAGATTGCGAAGGTTCAGTGTTGCTGGACGCCTCGATGGTGCCGCACTGACCCCGAATGTCCGAACGGCCTTGTGGTCCAGAGCCATGTGGTGCCCTGTAGGACAATGGCCAAGCTCTCCCGTCTGAGCTGCCAATGCCATTCCAGCGAGGACATCCCACAGATTCCCCTCCTCACGGAAGGCCCCCGCACTGACCCCGAGGGGGCGCATTTCCCCCGTTCAGTCCCCCCCGTGGGTCATTTGCCAAGCCGAGCAACGCAGTATCCAACCCAAAGCTAAACTCAGACCTATGGAACGCGCTCCCCAGAGAGGTCCGCCTGGTGCCGTTATTATTTGTTTTTCGGCGCCAGACCAAGACCTTTTTATTTAAACGATATCTTAATTGTTAATTTCTGTTTTTATTTATTGGTTTGTATAGTTTCGCCGAGATGTATCCGGATTTTTAAAGTTTACTTAACATTTGTTTATTTGCCTTGTAAGCCGCCCCGAGGCTTGTTGCAAAGGGGGCGGCGTAAAAATGCTTTAAATATAAATAAATAAATAAATAAATAAATAAATAAATAATAAAATGGGTCAAGATAAGCTGCACCCTCCAAGGTCACCGAAGCTTGGGCTTCTAAAGCACGGGTTGCTCAGACAGGTCCAGCTGGTGGGAAAACATTTATATGGCGCTTGTTCTGCAGGGGCAGAAGGGAAAGATGGCTGTGCGCATAAGCATGAGCTAAGCAGGGAGCTGATCAAAGTTGCCAAGAAGAGAGACTTTTAGTATTGAGGCGACATATGAAAAAACTAAATAAATAAATAATAAAATAATTTAAAAAAAAAAACCCCTCCAAGGAAAGATCTTACAGCAGGGGCCCCATCCCTGCTGGTCCCTTCCACCCTCAAGCTGGGATGTCGTAGAGGCCGCACCACAGCCAATGACCTCATGGCACAGGTAGGGGAGAGGGCGGGCTAGGTGGCAAACAGCCCCTCCATCCTTCCCCCCTTCTCTCTGCATCCTGTTACCAAGGAAACCAGGCCCACCCATTGGCACCGTCTGGTTGTCCCCTGCTTTTCTCCACCTCCAGCAAAGCCCTTGCCAAGTGAAACGCCTCCACTTCATCTCCTCCAGGGGAAAAAGGCTTTTGTGCCGTCATTTCCCTGTGGCACCGGCTCCCTTTGCTCCCAGGGGGCTCATTCTTGGGGAGAAGCAGGTGGGGAGTTCACAGCAGGCCAATGGCCAAAGGGAGCAGAGCGGCTGAAAGCCTCCCATCCTGAGGCGGGAGAAAAGCGGAGTGGCCGGAATTCCTCGAGAGAGAGAGAGAGAGAGAGAGAGAGAGAGAGAGCGCTGAGAGAGGGGAACCTCTTGGAAAAGGGACTTTCCGCAAGAAGGACGATCCCAAAGCACGATCCCGAAACCGGGACACACGTGGTAGGGAACCAGGATGAACAGTGGCGGGCTTTTGGTGCTGACTGTCAAGCGTTGCTCCCTGCCTGTTTTCCCGGGTGAGGCTTTTTGAATACACTTTTAAATGGAGAAGAAGGCAAAGCTGCTGTGCATTTCTCTGCCCGTGAAAGCTGGCCGTGTACAAACCCGACAGGGGGAAAGGGGATGCTTCTGAAACAGCGCACTAGTGCTTGTACAACGCGTCGTTAGGATCCTTGCAGCCCTAAACTCCTCTGAGAAACATGACGCCAGAAAACTTCCTGAGAGAGGGCATTTGGAAGGAACTGTGTCAGCAGCATGATTCATTTCCCTCTCAGACTTCAGCCCAGGTCCTGATGAAGTCACTCACTTTGGTGCCCAGAAATCCCCCTACAGTCCTCAGAACTACTGATTTACATATATTTACACACATATGCAAATAAATATTTCTGGATCCAGGAGCATCCAAGGGGTCAACAGGTCCTCCATTCCAGCAGGGATTGCAAACCTCCTCAGGTACTGTCTCTCGGCAACAGTGAGCTCATCGTATATTCCCAAGCACACCAATCTCCATCATTCTGCCCAGGGCCAACACCAGAGCTCCGTGGGCACCCAATATAATGTTGCTGATGGCCTGTTGATGCTAAAGCCCACCTGCAGAAGCCCGTCCATTCACTGTTCCAACTCCCTTCCTGCCCACATCATGTGGAAAACCTTCCTTCCGCTCCCAGCCTCCTATATTTCCTCCTGCTTTTTTTCCTTTCTTTTTAAACCTGGCCAGCGTTTGCTAGAACTGCCGATTCTTCCTTTCCCAGCTGGCCCGCTCACCTGCGAGGCGCCCCGTGCCCCGCCAGCCAGGTGTGCAAGCTTCACACGTAAATTGCAGCCGTGGCTTCCGCAGAGCACATCTCGGTATTCATGGGGGTGTTCTCTGGACCTGAGTGATGCCAACACAGCATCTGCAAAGGCTCTGCAAGCCTGGAGGGGGGAAACTGTGCGAGGCACGAGTGGCATACCAGCCCTGGCCCAGTCTTGGCTCCAAAGCCCATCAAGCGGGACTGAGACACTCCAGGGAGACCACCAGAGGGACCACCAACTTACTCTCGACCCCGGTTACTGTCCTTCACCTCCCCAGCCCGGGTCCATCCTGCTACGGCATCAGGAAATCTGGCAGACAAAATCAGAGTCCATTTCCGCCAGCCGTCTCCGCCACCTCATCCAGGAGCAAGTCCATCCACTGAGCGGACGTTCAGCCAGCGCGGATTAAAAACACACCTACAAAATGGGAGCACGCCACCTGCAGTCTTTCGCATCGATTCTCCAAGAAATACAGTCTCACAAGCCTTTCTGAAATCAACCAAGTTTTCACTGAAACTGCACCTCTGTGTCACGGAGCAGAGGGAATTTGTGCTACAAACAGCACAGGAAGCATTTTCCCCATCGAAGCCAAAGCTACTTGACCCTTCTCACTGTCTTCAGTGCTTATCAACCCCGTACATCTTTTCCGGATCCAAACCTCCAGTTGAAGCTAAAATTCCTCAGTAACCAGACACAAAAGATGGGGCAAGTTCTACTTTCGGTCCTTAGGGATTGTTTACGTATAGCTGGAAACCAGATAACATTATGTCCACGCAGTTCCTCAGTTGTTACAGGAAGCCAAGCGGGCGTAAAATAGAAAGGAAACATCAGCGTACTTCTCAGCCGTGGCCACGGGCCCCACTCACGGCTCATCCGAGCACCAAACGTCATTGCCTAATTGCAGAACGGCGTCGGCAGAGGCCACAGAGACTCCCTCCCTCCCTCCCTCCCTCCCAAGTTCACCAAGTGATGCCCTTACGCGGTGCTTTAATTCACCTTTCCGGGCTGTTGGGTCCATCCTCCAGCGTCGCATCTGTGAGCACCATTTCTTGTTTCAGCTCCCCGATTTCTGAAGCGATTGTGTCAATGAGCTGGAGGAAGGGCAAAAAGGGTATGACGGCAAGTCAGTGGAAGAGGTGTGGAAATAAAAGAACAGGCAAAATGAATCACTCGGAACAGAAACCCCGTCACCCCTTTCAGCTTGGACTTCCCTTTCCTGAGACAAGGAAAACAGGATAACGGGCTTCTTCAGCTCCTGGGGCAAAGGCGTTCATTACAATCCCAGGGGGTCAGGAAATTGCATCTTGCATTTCCCAAGTAAATACAGCAAAACGGAACATGCTTCTTTAAACATTTCTATCTGCCATCGAGCGAAAGATGTTGCAGGGTGGACGCAGTTCCTTGCATCTTCAGCAAGGAAGGGGCCTCTGACTGGAGAGATGTGGGTCCTTGTTTTGGTCTAAACAAGCACCAAAGTGGTTTATGCAATGAGGAAGCAAACAGCAAGCTGGTCAAAAGCTAAAGCAGGGCAAAGCTAAGTCAGACGCAGCTCGCACGCAGGCTAGAAAAACACCAGCGCAGTCCAACGTGAGCATATCTGTCTCTCCCCACTGCAATCAAAGAAACTTCCAGCGCTGTAGATTGGCCCATTCCATTCGCCGTCAGCATTTATCTCAGGTGTGCAAAGCAATTAAATACACCTGGCGCAAGCCATGGGCAGCCTGGCAGCCAGCAGACGGTTTTGATCACAACTACCTCCAACTTCCGTGAGCACAGTCAGGGATAATGGATGATGGGAGTTGCAATCCAGACCCTTTCGTGAGCACCAAGTTGCGTGTCCGCTCCTCCAAGGATGTGGCTTTTCTGCAAAACTTTCCCATGCGAATTAGTCTAATTCGCAAAGCTTTATTCACATTGGATAATTTTGTGTGATGTGTTAGAGACTCATTTAATTTTGCAGATTCAGTAAACAAAGAAAGCTGAAAGTGCACTTCAGGCTGGTTTTTTAAAATACCAATATGCAAGTATTTGACCTGAAATATTCGAGGAGGAACATTAAAGCACAGCCTGGATCAATGTCGGTTCCAGCCAGGACAAACAAGCTAAACTTCTCAGTGTCATAAATTACTGGAACATGGAACTGATCACAGGGGAAGTAATACTAGATTTAATTCTTAGCTGCTCAAGGATGTAAATGTTGTCAAACCAAACAAAAACAGTGGCTGGAGCGCTATCGGGTTTAGTATTTATTTATTTATTTATTTATTTATTTATTTATTTATTATTTATGTATTAAAACATTTTTATGCCGCCCCATTCGCCGAAGCCTCGGGGCGGCTTACAACAATAAGTTAAATAATTAGAATCATAGATTAAAACTATAAACATTAGAATAAAATACAAACATACAATATAAAATAAGCCGCCCTGGCCAGATAAAATTAACATTTAAAATGCTGCTTAAATAAAAAGGTCTTTGCCTGGCGCCGAAAATAAATTCCAAAGAGATCCAACACCATCACCTTTAATTCCAGAAGAGGAAACTTCTTGAAAATGAGGGAACTGGTAAAAAAGAAGTTGAAAGGGGGAATCAAGAGGGTTGAAGACCTTCAAAAGGCTGGGCAATTACTCAAAACCACAACAGAAGCTCAGCTAAAATGTGACCCACAGGTTAGGAAACGGAGCATGAAGTCCCAAGGGGTCACCAGCGTGGGAAACAAGCAGTATCAAGTTGACTGATAGAAGAAGGCCTCCGTCAGTGAATGGAAGTCTTGCCCAAATGAGGAAAACGGAGTACCAGGGAAATTCAAAGGGTACAAGCTCGCACAAGGGAAATTCAAGAAGACGACACAAGATGCAGAAAAGCTTTCCGAAATGCACACAGTTAACAACATCAAGACCCACAATACACTTTCTTTAAATAAATCAAAAGAAAGAAACCAGCTACAGCTGCTTTTATGAAAATATGACTACCGTATAAACCTTTATTTATTATTTATTTATTAAAACATTTCTATGCCGCCCCTTGCCGAAGCCTCGGGGCGGCTCACAGCACAAAATAAAATACAATAAAATACAAAAATAACAATATAAAATTAACAATATAAAATAAATAACAATATAAAAGAAGTCACCCTGGCCAGATAAATAAGCAAATATTTATAAATATTTGTAAATATTTATAAATAAGCAAAAATATCACAGTTTTGCTAGCATTTCTCCACACCCCTGAAGGTTGGGTCATTCCTGGTCTTCTGTGCAGTTTTTTCACTATTCTATAATAAAAGGTTGAAATGCGTTCCTCTAAGACTTAATTATGGAAATTATGTGGGGGTTTTATCCTCCTCTCAAGAATGCAGGAATGTTTCACCCCTAATTTTCTCCAGCATGGGATTCAGCCCTTGGGTCGAAAGAGAATGCCGTCTTTCATCTTTCAGTTTGCACACCGTCTGAATTACGCAGCCGTCCTCAGCTTTAGAAGGGGTTTAAAGCGCATAGGAAAATATGCATGTTGTGGGAGGGAAATTAAAACAGAAGGTGAATCGGATCGAGGCAAAAACAGGATGCAGCTGACCGAGGAAAGAAAACAGGTGAAATGGACACGGGTGGGAAACGGACTCATTGCATCCGCCAGACAAATGTGCTCCGTCGGACTCCCAAGGCACGTGTGCCCCCTGTTGGACACAAGGACACACTGCAGGGGACCAGACCTGCGGCCCGCAAAGGGTGCATCTGAGCGCCCGGCCGGGGTGAGCTAACCGTGTCTCCGGCTCCCCTAATGGACCAGTGCTGGGCAGTGGGGCAGTGAGAGGCGGGTTTTCCAGCCGCTTTCCGGTGCTTGGAGTGCAGGCAGGTGGGCCCAGGGCAAATCCCCTCTCGTCCAAAGGGAGCCCCACCAAAAACGGAGCACGCGATCGTCTGCCGTGAGGCTCCGGCTTCCGGGCACACTGGACCCAGGGCTTCGGCAGCCTGTCTTTCGTAGTCCCATCTCCTGGAAGGCCTGACACCAAATGTTCCACACACAGATAATCGAGAAGTAATTGCAATCTTGCATTTTTCTCTGAGCAAACTGCAGCCGTCACACAGCAGCTGAGAAATGTACTTTATGCAAACATTATTTGGACAAGGGGTAGGCAACCTTGTGGGCTCCAGATGTTTGGCTCTGCAACTCCAGAAATGCTGACCAGTGGCAGGCTGCCCAAAGCCGGCAGAATGTGTCACTCAAAGCTGGACTTGGGCAGTCATTCATGCCTGCTCTGACTGTACCACATGCAAGTCCTCCAGGTATACCAGAGAGGAGGATGGTGGTGATTCTGCACCTGCACCTGTCTTTCTTCCCTCTTGCGAGGCTGCCTAGGCGGCTCGCATAATCCTCTTCCACTCAATTTATGCTCACAACAACAACCCTGCGAGGTAGGCTGGCCGAGAGCTTGCAGCTGGCCCAAGGAGCACAAGGAAGTAAGTTCTGTCCTTGGAGCGGGGTCCAACCCTTCCGAAAGGACACGAAGGTCCAGATCCTGCTTGATCCCATGTGTGGCTTCATGCTGACCCAGCGGGGGGCTGCTGGCAGAAGCGGGCTTCCCCAAACCCCTCAGGCGTGGCAGCCCTTCCAGCCGCCTGAAAACGATCCACGGAGGGTCGGGGAGCTGCAACGTGTCTCGGGAACGCCACGCAACCTGGATGGACAACCCTGGTGCCGGGCCGATGCCCCTAACTTCTGCTTTCACGATCCCAAACAACCCAGTCCCACCTTCCCACCTGTCTCCCCTCATTTCTTTCCAGGTGAGCTGCACACACCTGAATGGGGCAGGCAGGGCCCGTCCCCTGGCGTTCCAAATACTCTGCGGAAGTGCCGTGAATTTATACTGCAAGGCGAGAGTAAACAGGATAAGGACACTACTTTTTCCGGGGGGGGGGGGGTCACATTGGACACTGGCAGTTTCTGTGCTTTACATTAAAAGAAAATCCATTTGCTCTTTGAACAGCAGAAAACTTTTGCAATCTGCCCCTTCCGTCTCGTGTTTGGACCAGTGAGTGAGCCAATGTTGCTTTAGGAAGCATTTTGATACGTTACACAACAGAAAGTGTATTTCATATTAAATAGTTAATATTAAATCTGGGAGGAGAGGCCAGATTTGGCCCTTGAGGCTGTAAACAGAGCCATGAACTTGGAGGAGAAAACTCCTGCCTGGATCGCTGTGCCCAGCCTGATCCCTGCAGGAATCTCTCTTCTGCAGATCGTTTCAAGACCTGGGTCTTGCGGGAAAATGTCAAGGACAAAAACCGCCTCCATTGGATCAGAGCTTCCGTCAAGCTGGTGATACCCTGAACCTATTTTTCCACCGGCTTGCAAGTTCCAACCGTGTGGCTGCGATTTCCCACCCCATCCCCTTCCCATCCATTCTCAGCACAAGATTCCACGACACAAGCCCAGAAAGAGGGAGAAGGAAAGTGCCTGGAGCAGAATGAATCTGCCAAGACAGCAGCGTCCCATTTTGCAGGTGAGGGCGAGAGGGGGATTCCTCATGTGAAAAAGGAGAAGGCGACCGATCCGCGAGCATTTCCCCCACCAAGAGGAACAGTGTGCCAAAGACTCGCTTGGATTCTGCAGACACGCAAGGAATAAGAGCGCCTTGTAAAGAGCCGCTTATTATTCCCCCGTGTTGCAAGACGCCTCTTGTAAGGAGCGAATTAGTATTGCATGCATTACTTGTCTGCAGCATTACGAGCTGAGCTGGCTTGCCGTGGTTATGCCGAGTTTCGGTCCTATTCAGCCCTGCCCGGTGGGAAAAAGGCAGATTAAAACGGCATCCGGTGGTTTCACGCTAGAAATTGCGGGTGGGTGGATGGCAACCCAGTGCCTAGAGAAGCAGTCGGAGTCTGTGCGACC